TACGTTCGATCTCTCCTTCCAACCTGATCTGATGTCAGATGGGAAGGCATTCACTCACTCAGCACTGATTCAACTGCCCTAACAGGCACCAGGTGGGAGGTAGCACGCCTTAATCAGCAGGCCAGCTGGGACCCAGATCCCACCTTCCTGGGGCTCCCTGTGCAGAAGGGAGGGTGTCACGTGGGGAGGCAGGTGCTGGTCATCAAGAAGGGCATGGACAATCAATCACGAGGTCACAGAACTGCTGGAGAGCCCAAGAGAAGGTTTGCAGAGAAGGTGGCATTTTGAGCAAGCCCCCAATGAGCCAGGTGGACTTCCCAGGCAGGGACAGAGTGAGCCACCCACCCAAGTACTCAGGGTGCCCAGGAACCGTGGGGATGTACAGTCTGCAGCGCTGGGTCCCGTCTTCCTGGCAACGGGGACGTGGCAACAGCTAGAGAGAAGTCAAGACCACATTGCTGAGGGAAATGAATGCCATCCTGGCTGGGATCAGGCATCTCTCTTAGGGGCAGCAGGGAGCCATGAGTTTCTGAGCAGGGTAAGATCAAGCAACCCCTGGATGGTGTTAGTGGTTAATGCACTCAGCTGACAACCAAAAGATTGGAGGTTTGAGACCACCTAGAAGTGCCTTGGAAGAAAGGCCTGGTGAAAACCCTCTGGAGCATTTCTGCTCTGACACACATGGAGTCACCAAGAATCTGAGGGCTCGAGAGCAACTGGAAGTCAAAGCCCAAGCTGGAATGCTGGGGTCCTGCTTCAGACCCTGCCCTTGTGGGTCGTAGAAGTTACACCTCTGCAAGCCACAGGGAGAAGACCTGTGACCCTGTTCTCCTCGGGTCCTCAGGCCCCCTGGACAGCGCCTGGTGTGGACAGCGCCTGGTGTGGACAGCGCCTGGTGTGGGGATGGTGCTAATCACCAGTTGTTGAATTGCTGGGTGGGTGAATGAGTGACTGGCTGCCCATCCCCTCCCCCTACTGTCCGCTTCTAGCCCTGTTCCTGAGGGGATGAAACACTGCATGTGTATTCAGGGCTCTTGCATCTAGCCCACATACCTCTGCCCCTTTTTCTCCTGGTCCCCTTCTCCACACTGGTCCAGAATAAATGTAGGAAGCAGCACCCCGCAAATGCCCTCCCCCTGGTAAGCAGCTGCAGTTCCCCCAAATTCTTCCAGTCACCCTTGTAGAGAGAGAGATGTACCACGCTTTACAAGTGAGTGAACTGTGAGTTAAATGGCCTTGCCTACTCCTTAGGGGTGGAACTGAGATTCCCAAGGAGACCTGCTGATCCCAGCTAGTGCCTCAATCTGAGAATGGAGAGTGGTGCTGTTGGTGCTGTTGTTGTTGTTGTTAGATGCTGCAGCGTCAACTATGACTCAGTGACCCTTTGAGCAAAGCTGACCGTCATCACCTGCTGCACCATGGTCACAATCTCTGTCATGCTCAAGGCTGTGCGATAGTCACGGCATCAAACCAGCTTACTGAGGGGTCTTCCTCCCTTTCTCTGACCCTCCACATTTCCCCGGCAGGACGTCTCTCTCCAAGGACTGAGTCCTCCTGAAAATCTGCCCAAAGGGAGTGTCCCCATCGCCAACTTGAAGGAACACGCTGGCTACACTTCCTTCAGGATAGACTGACTTGTTCCTTCGGCGGCCCACGGTCTAGTAGATGCTCTGTGCCAACACCATGACTCGGAAGTACCGATTCCTCGTCGGTCCTCATGATTCATTCCATGTAATGTAGGGAGAGGAAAGGAGCCCACTGAGGGTCAAGGACCCAGAAAGACAAAGAAGGCGAAGGAAGGGAGTCCTGGAGGCGGGGTGTCCCTGATCCCAGATGGCAGGACCACTGAGGAGACCCTGGTCTGACTGTTCTCATTCATAATTGGATATTGTTGTTATTGTGTACAGTTGAGTCAGAACTGACTTCCAGCTGATCCTCCAGCAGGTTTTCAGAGGCAGTAAATCACACGGGAGGTGGTTGTCCACATTTCTCCTACTGAGCAGCTGATAGATTTGAACCGTGTGCCTTTGGGATTGCAGCACACACAGCTCTTTGTCACTAGGCCACCAGAGCTCCCTACAGTAGGATATAGAAAGACCAGTTCTCTCGCTTCGACTGCTGCTTTGCCACACAGAGTGAGGCTTACACACACACAGACTCAGGGCCAAGAGAAGCCTTAGTTAAAGGTAAACAACCCAATTGAAAAATGGCCACAGGATATGAACAGATACTTCACCAAAGAAGACATTCAGATGGCCAAAAAGCACATGAAGAAATGTTCGAAATCCCTAGCTCTAAGATAGATGCAAATCAAAACAACTATGAGATATCATCTCACCCCAGTCAGAATAGCAAAATTTAACAGAACAGCAAACAACAAATGCTGGTGAGGTTGTGGAAAAACTGGAACACTTATTCACTGCTGGTGGGAGTGTAAAATGGTGTAACCCCTATGGAAGGTGGTGTGGCACTTTCTCAAAAAGTTGCAAATAGAAATACCATTTGACCCAGCAATTCCACTACTTGGAATATATCCCAAAGAGACCATAACTGACACCCAAGCAGATATATGCACAAACATGTTTATCGTGACTTTGTTCACAATAGCAAAGAGTTGGAAACAACCTAAGTACCATCAACAAATGAATGGATAGAGAAGCTGTGGTATATTCATACGTTGGAAGACTATGTTACATTGAAAAACAAAGAACTCATGAAGTATTGCACACAATGGGTGACCTTGGAGGACATTATGCTGAGTGAAATCTCCATCACAAAAGGACATATACTGTGTAATGCCACTGTTGTAAAATGGGACTGACATCAGGGTTGGGGGAGACTGAGAAAGATGGGATAAATAATGTATACTGCATTGAAACAGATGAGGGAGAAAACTGTTTAAAAGAGATATATGATTAGGTATTATTGTCATGACAAGAGTCCAGAATGAAGGCTGCATAATGGAGTGGACTTGGGAAAGATTGTATAACAATGAAAGAATTTTTTTTTTTTACTCTTCAAAGAGAAAAGTGAACTGGGGGGGAGGGGTGGGCAGGGAGAAAAGTGCAACAACAATGAATGAATAGAAATCCAAAGTCTCTGTCAATTTTCATTAAAATTAACAACTAAAAAAGAGAAGCCTTAGTTACTTTAAGTCTCTCTCTCACTCTTTGCCATCAAGTAGGAACCCCCCATAGCTGTTCCTCCGCTGGGTCTCCATGGTTCTAAATGACAAGACAGGAGATGGCCCATCCCTTCTGCCTCACAGCGGCTGGTGGAGTAAAACCAGCAAAGGCACGGCCTTTGGTCTAACAGCCCAACTCCCCGTGGACCAGGCCACCAGAGCTCCCTCACACAGAAGCTGTCTTTTCCTACAAAGCCATTCCTTAGAGGGAGGGGGAAAATACTTTTCTTTTTCCATGTCCTGTGAGGAAGGGGGAAAATATTTTTGTTTTTCCATGTCCTGTGTAAATAATCATCCCCTTGAAGGCGTTGGCATCCCAAAGCAGTCTCCCCACAAATCCTTCTGTCCCAGGTCATCTGATTCCCAATGCCCTTTACAGCTTGACTCTGAAGTCACGTTCTCAGAACTGCCAAGGACAGCTAGCTGCTGCAGGAGGAACCTCCAGCTCCAGCAGTCTCATTTTACAGATGGACAAACTGCTATCTGCACAGGAGAAGAGTCCACCCAGGATCCTCTAACATCACGCCTAGGGACCTCGTCCCATCCCCTTCTCCCTTGAACACACTGCCAGGTCCCCAGCTCAGCTTGTGTCTTTGAGGGGGGGCTGGTGTCACTTCTTAAACCCCGGAAGCTAAATATGGAGGTCACTGTGCCACAGAAGAAGGAGGCAAACACTCTGCGGTTCTAACAAATGAGTTTATTAGAGGGACTTACACGTAAGGCATGTCCTGGGTGGCAGCAGGACCGAGGCACTTCTCAGAGTCCTCTAGTGAGGGACTAGGATTTTATGACAATGGTGAAAATAGTGGCTTCGTGCCAGGAGTCCAGACTTTTAAGTCCCCCAGCAAGGGTTACATAAGAGTGATAAGACGTGAGCTTGCTGAAAGCAAATGGACCTCAACCAACCTCCCAAAACCTGCTTCCCCTCCAGACATGCTTCTGTCAGTACCGCCTCTAAATGCTGAGTGATGCAGCTGGGGACCCAGCATCAGTCTGTCATACCGTGACAGCTTCCATGTTACCAGGACACAGAAAACGTCCACACCAGAACCAGCAAGCCATAGTGGTGGGTGGGTGAGTTCCAGGAGCACTTCCAGCCTATTACAGACTGAGAGGCCTGGCAATCTACTTCAGAAAGTGAACCGATGGACATGCCGCAGACGACAACAGAAGACTCTCTGATGCTCTCACCCTGGACAAGCCACTGGGACGTCGAGTGGACTGTAAAGAAGGGGATGTGAAGGCACGGGACACCCTCGGTGAGGTGGATTGGCACAAGAGTCTCAGAGACGGGCTGGAACATTCTGGAGATCATAAGGATGACACAGGACTGGGCAGCGTTTCACACTGCTGGGCGTGGGGTCGTCCCAAATGACAGTCAACTCAATGGCAGCTAACAGCAGCGACACAGCTGCGGTCATGACATCTTGTTCACCACCAGGAAATTAGCTTCTGACTATACAGGGTCTCAAGGTCAGACAGACCTAATTAGTCGATGACCCACCTCCTCCCCTCATCACATCACCACTTGCTGAGTCCAGGGTCTGCCAACATCTCGGCTCTGACCCCCGGCAGTCCCGCTTTGGAGCTGGGTGATGCCAATCCACCTGCCAGCTGAGACTCTTTTCCAGCTGACCAGGAGTCCTGGGAAGACATTAAATATCTCCTGTTTCTTTTCAGAATAAAAAAGCTGGTTATTTAATAGAAGTAGTCCTGAGAGGCAAAGTCTTTCTGGAATGATCTCCTCAAAGGTGGAGATCAATCAGCAAAAGCGTGCTCAGCGCTAAGGAGGAGGGCTTCGGAGCTAGGCAGCTGGTCAGGGGCTTCCCTTCTGACGCCGACACTCCCGGTACACCAGGAAGGGGTGGACGAAGGTCAGCAGGGTGATTAGCACCAGGGTCAAGTTCACCTGGAGGAGAGAGAGGAGGGACTGAGCCCACGTCCAGGAGTGAGGCACCTCACCACATTCACAGTTGGAGGAGGAACTGGACACTCGCTCAGGGCCCCAGGATTCCACATCACTGATGTCCTACTTCCCACTCAGACATGGTGCCCGAAGGGTCCTCTCATTGCCATTGTAGACACACTGTGTTTTCACGCATTTCACAGCTAATTGAGGGTTTCACAGACTGGAGGTTTGTGACAAGCCTGCCTCAAGCATATCTGTGGGCACATTATTCCGACACTGCATGTGGACTTGGTGTCTTTGTGTCACATTGTATCCAGTCCTGCGGCGTTTTGAGCATCTCATCATGCTGTGGCTCTTTTAGTAGACGACAGGGAGGAATTAACACAACTTCCATGTGCAATAGCAAAACCAAAAGTTTGTGTGACTCGCTTTATCGTGTATCCATAGGGCTCTCAATGCACACGGTACCGTGTTAATGCTGTGGCCTTGGGTACTGCCAGGACAAAGGGAGGCGTGCCCACTGACCCTTGTTTAAGAAGTAAAACCAAGGTGGGAGACCTTGAGGACCACACCAGGCCAGCTTGGCCAGGTCTTTGCACGCACCCTGCTGGGGACCCTTGGAACCGCCCCATCTGGCTGTCTGTCCTCACTGGTCTAACATCAGGGTGCAATATACACACATACACACACAGAGGCCACAGTACTCACATATAACGGGTTGTTCTGGAGGGGTCCTTTGATGAGGGTGAAGATGGGGAACTGGAGCAGAGACACGATGGCCGACAAGGCCATTACCAGCCCAAAGAGCTTTCCAAAGTGCTGGGGTGGGAACCTGAGGAGGACCAATAGGCTTCTAGTGAGCTGCAGGGGTCCTTCCACTTGTCCCCCTCCACCCACCAATGCCACAGCCTTGCCCCACCCCTGCTCCTCAGCCTGCACCACAAACAGAGAGAAAGCACGGTCTTGGGAAGGCAAAGAGGCCCAGGCTGTGCCCAGGAGGCTTCCAAACAAAACACAGATGCGTAGACAGATAAAGGCACTCTTGACAACTGTGTGTGTAACTGTGACAACTGTGTGCATATAGAGAAAAACAACTGGGGAGAAAGTGCCATGGGCATAAAGAAGGGAGGAAGCTTGCTTTCTAACACTTCCCTTGGAAAGTTGGCCTGGAAGTAGTAGATGAGCTTTGCAGGGTGAACAGGAGTTCACCAGCAGGCGGGCGGAGGCAAAGGAGACCACAGATGCCAAGGCTCAAGGGCATGAATGCTTTGTGCCCCCACAAGCCTCCACCCCCAGGTAACACCCCATTGTTACCTGCTGCCAAACCGTGTCCTCCTCACCAGACCACCTCCAGGTCCATGTCACTTCCTGACTTCTCTACCCCCAGCCCACTCCCCTTTGCCCAGTGTGTCATGACTGCCATCCTAGGGCACGTCCACTTACGCGAGGGTGAGGAAGGCCGCGTTGCCCCCGTAGAGGAAGGAGCGGCTGACCACCTGCAAGATGAAGGTGAGGTACTGGAGCGGCAGGACGGGGACCGAGGCACAGAGGGCAAAGCCAAGGCACAGCAAGGACGTCAGGGCCAGTGAGGGCACCGTGGAGCAGACAGCCACTATCGAGTCCGAGGAATCTGATCCAGAAAGAGGAGAAGAGGCAGCTGCAGGTGAACAAGGAGGACAAAGGGGGGAGGCAGGGAGGGAAGATGGGAACAGGGAGGAGCCACTGTCCATCCACCAGTCCGACCAGAGACCCTGAGAGTCACCTTGAATCTCACTGTCGAGAAAGGGACACCGCGCACAACTGACGGGATTGTGTGAAAAAGGACAGACCGCCAGTCCCACACAGATCCCAGTGACCAAAGATGGTCTACTCTGAGTATGAAGAAGAACTGAGATACGCCAGGAGTGTTAGAAATGAGACTCAAAAAGAGAAATAAACATTGGTCACCTAAAGAAGTGGTCAGGGCACCTGCTCCTTCTTCTGAAAACAGAGAAACATCAAGCCCTTATTCTGTTTTTCTTGCTTGAGTTGGACAAGCTCACAAAATAGTTAATGAAGGCATGCTTTTCTCTTTCTAGGGAAATTCCAGCAGACAAAGGCACAAGGAACGATGTCATGACCCAATGCCATTGAATCGAGTGCAGCTCACCGAGCGGGACAGGGTAGCAGCCCCACACGGTTTCCAAGGCTCTAAGTCTTGACAGGTGCAGAAGAACAGCCCATCTTTCTCTAGTAGAGTGGCTGGTGACTAGGAACCGTCGACCTTCTGATTATCAGCTGCATACCTTAACTGCAGCACCACCAGAATTCCTTAGAAGGAATAAAAGACCTAGAAAATCATGAGTTTGCAACCCTAATAAAATAACAGGTCTAAGCATTGATCACCAATGGCTGCTAAAATCATTAGTTACACAGTTGATGGGAAACTACGCACTGAACAGATCAGACTGACAGCCGGGATCAATTGTAATAGCATAAGAAGAGAGACAGATACCAGGGGCCTGCTGACGGCTCCATCAGGAGCCCACAGCTCCGTTTCTGGGTAATTCTTTTAAAAAAAGTATTACCCTGAATCTCCTCAAGAAGCTGATCGTACTTTCTGTTTACAGGAAACACTCAATCAAGGGAAATTTTTAAACGACACCCCAAGGATGCCAAATCTTTCCCAACAGGACAAAGATGCCAGACTCGACAGGACAAGTGGCCCGATTTCCTCAGGAAATAATTGACAAGATAAAAGGAGGACCACCATTAGAGATAGAAAGACATGAAAGACACAGGAGCCACATGCATTTTGCGGGCTGTGTGAGGATCTGAATTTACACAAACCAACAAAGAAAGATGGCTGTTTTGGAGACCAGCAGGGAAATTTTCATGGAGAAGCTGGACTCTGTGAAGAGGAATGTGGCATCAGGATTGAAGGAAGACTCATCAATGAAGTGCATTATGCAGTTGATGCAACCTTGCTTGCTGAAAGTGAGGAGGACTTGAAATGTCTTTCATATGAATTACACCTCAACATCAAGAACACTGAAATCCTCACCGTGGAACCAACGGACCACATAATAATAGATGGAGAAAGGATTAAAGCTATCAATGATTTCCTCTTGCTTGGATCAATAATCAATACCCTTAGCATCAGCAGTCAGGAAATCAGGATATGAATTGCACTGAGCAAGTCTACTGTTAGGGACTTCCTCAAAATACTTAAGAGCAATGATGTCAGCTTGAAGACTAAGGTGTGTCCAGTTCAGGCCCTGGTCTTTTCAATCACCTGCTATGCATCTGAGAGCTGTAGAGTGAATAAAGATGACAGAAGAAGAATTTATGTCTTTGAGTAGTAGTGTTGGTGAAGAGCACTATTACATCCCATGGATTGCCAAAAGAACAGACAGTTATGTCTTGGTGCAGGTGTGGTCAGAGCACTTCTTGGAGGCAAAGATGATGAAATTCCATCTCTCATTCTCTGGGCATGTTGCTAGGAGAGGCTATTCCTTGGAGAGGTGGAGTGAGTGAAAGAGAGGAAGACTCTCAGCAAGATGGATTGACACAGACTGCAAGCTTAAGTGTGTCAGAGCTGATGAGGATGGTACAGGACAGAACAAAGATCAGATCTGTTGATCACAGGGTCTCTACGAGTCATATTCGACTCAATGACACCTAACAACATCAATGGTAACATGTTATTTTTAGGGGCGACAATAACGCTATTATTGTTAGTTGCCAGGGAATTGGCCTCTAGCTGATGGCAACCCTATGCCTGGCTGAACAAAATACAGAACTTCCAGACTGCGACTAATTTGGCAAAGAAAGATCTGGTGAGATTAGTTAGAAAAATCAGGCAATAGACACAGCCAAGCTAACTGGTCCAACAGAGACTGGTAAAACGCTTGAGACTATGACCCTTAGTCACCTTTCCAACTTAGGACAAAACTTACCCCATGGGCCCAACTTCCAGCGAATCAATCCACAGGCCTATAATATGAACAATTGCACCAGGAAGACACTCAGACCTTAGAATAACCAGCCGCTTTAAGTTCAAAAGGGTATCACTTGTCCCAAGAGAAACCCCAGACAATAGGAATGAGAAGGCGAGATGGATCAGTGGAAACAAGAATCACAGGGATGAAGTAAGGAAAGTGTAGTTACATTGTGGGTATTGTAACTGATGTTATAAAATAAAATGCGTATAAATGGCAGGATGAAAAATATCAATTTGCCTTGCAAACTTGCACTCAGATCAGAATAAAAATAAATTGGGTTGTTTTGGGTTTTTTTTTTTAAATTCTATTATTGCTATTCTTCTCAGTGTTAGGTATAATTTTTTTAATTTTTCTTTTATTTATTTATTTTCAATCCATTTTAATGAACCTTTACAGAGACTTACAGTTTCCAGTCATTCATTGTTGCTAAAAACAAGTTTTTAAAAATTTGAGTTGATGTGATCTGCAGCCCATGGGGGGTGGTACAGGCCTGGGCAGGCATCCCCCTGAATCACTCAAGCCCGTGCACCCATTCCGCTGTGCATGGGCTGCCTTGAGTTGGGGGCCAGAGAGACAGCAACTAACAAAACAACCAGTGGAAGCATGGATGCAGGTTAGAACATTAGAGAAGACAGCACACGGGAAAAGGAAGAGCTCCGATCCTGGCCCCTGACCCTCTAGGGCTCTGGTCTCACCTGTCTGTCTCTCTTCCTTCTGGTACTTCTGCTTAAGGCGGTCCATGAGCAGCCCGTTCCAGGGGGCACACAGTACGCCAAAGAACTGAGTGATGGCAAATGCGTTTGTGTACGTGCTGACTGCAGAGGGCAGAGAGGGGTTTGGGGATGAGAAAGAACATTCTAGAACTGCCTTACGAGAGGACTCTCTCCCACCCTGCCCTGCCCTGCCTGATGCCCAGACCCTCCCCTACAGCACACAGACCCTGGAGTCCAGTGTCCACTCTCTGTGCCCCTTGAAGGGCTAAGTCCCCAGCTCGGCCGAGCTGATGGGCTGCCTCTCAGCTCTATTACACACCAAGCGCCTTGTCCCCAGCGGCCAGGTTGGTCAGCAGAGGGTTGAGCGTGCCGATGAAGAGGTAATGCCACAACTGGATCACCGATAACCACACCAGGTGCCAGACGAAGCGCCGGGTCAGCGCATAGCGCCAGAAGGAACGGAGCTCCTGCGTCTGCTCAGGCCTGGGGTTCTCTGATGGGGAGAGGAGGAACCAGCATGAATCACCAGCAAAGCAGAAGGGCCAGGGGGACAAGAGAGAAGCAGCCTTAAAAGCCCCTTCTAGCCCAGAACTCACTGGCACGCCTGTCATCTCATAGACCCCTCCACATGTCTGTCATGCTGGCTACACCATGCTGAATGTTCCCACCCACCCTTACTTACTACGAGGACCAGTGAAAGACAGGAAGACCCCAGCAAGATGGGTTGTTGAAGTGACCATGACAATGGGCTCAAGTGTGTTTACTGGGGACAATAAGGAAGGAGCAGGACAGGACAGGGTCCAGATCTACCGTTCATAGGCCAGCTATTGGTCATATGCGACCTGACAGCACACAACAGTGCATAGGAAAGTTGTGTTTACACTATGTTGTTGCTGTGTACCAAAGAGTGTCCCAGAGCTCCCTGTTTATACCATTCAACAGCCTACGATAGCAGGTCTGGTGGCTCCGTGTAAGGAACCACATTGCCAATCCACAGCCCCACAGAAGGAGGATGGACAATTTCCTCCCATGTGATTTACTGCCTCTAAGGACCTGCTGGAGGATTCGCTAGGAGTGGGTTCTGATGCGACAGTACATGACAACAATAACATAGTCTATTGAGGAAGCTCGGGTGGCTTAGTGACAAGGAGTTGTGCTACCAACCCCATGGCAGACAGTTCAAATCTACCAGCTGCTCCGAGGGAGATAAGTGGGCAATCTCATCCTACGCAATTTACAGACTCTGAAACCTGCTTCAGGGTCACACACTGAGATGGAATCGACTCTAGGGTGGTGGGGTTTGGCTTCTGGACAGTCGCTTCAATGTGCGGTGGAGTTTGGCTTCCAGACAATCGATTCAATGTGCAAAAACAACATTTGAAAAGCTAGAAATATCTTGAGAATGTGACACGGGGACCTGAAGGGAGCACATGTTGTTGGAAAAATGGCACCAATAGGCTTCTTCAACCCTGGGAGGCCATAAATCTTCAACTTGTAAAAACTGCATTATCTATAAAGCAAGATATGCCTGCACTTTGTCTACAAACACTTTCCCAATCATTTGCAGCCAGAATGATGAAAGGAAGGAGAGAATGATGACATGAAGGCCAGAGGGAGAGAAGGGACTGTATCAGTCACATTTTATTGGTTCACCTCACATTCCTCTCCTTTATTCTGCAGCCAATCACCTGAGTTTCCTGGGACGCTGCCCTGCCCAGGTCCACATGACTGACATGATTCAGACAGGGCTGTGAATCAGATGTGCAGCTTCTCACCCCGGGGCAAGGCTTCAGAGTTCACAGCTGGCCAGTCTGATGGTCCTCCCCACAGAGGCCGACTGGCCATGATTTTAGACATGGAATCCACAAAGTCTTGGTTCTACCTGGCAAGTTCGTTTCTCCCCTGATTATGTGGCTATCTCAAACTCTCCCATTTAGGCTTTAATTAGCCAGGTTGATTAGCACGATTAGTGACGTCTGTAACCAAAGAAGGAGGAGAGGAGGAAGCTAGGGAGGTAGGGTGAGGAGGAAGAAGACACAATGAGGCAAAGGAGACAGTGTGAGGGCAAAGTTTCATGGAACTGACCTGGCACAGTGACTGCCAACCATGGGCTTGAACAGAGCGGAGATGGTGGGGACGGCAGCATGAAGTAGGCTTTCTTGTGTTTTACACAGGGTCACTATGAATTGAAGGTGACTCTACCATACCTAACAACACTGCAATGGGAACACAAGGGCTGCGGAACCAAGCAGGGCATGAAGGGAAGGCAAATACAGGCATATCCTGTATCATGGTGCTTTGCTATGGTGCTGGTGACAGATACTGTGTACCTGATAGTCAAAGGCTGGTGGCGACCCTGTACCAAACAAGTGTACAGGCAACACCTTTCCAATGGCACACACTCACTTGGTGTCTCTGTGTCACCTTCTGGTCATCCTTACAATATTCCAAACTTCTTCATAATGCTATTGCATGTTTCACAGATGACCGTCAACAAGACAGATTGACACAGTGACTACAGCAGGGGGCTTGGGGACATCAGAGATGAGGAGGATGGTGCAGGATAGATCTGTTGTTTATAGGGTCAATTTGAGTTGTAGTCAACTTGATGACACCTAACAAGAACAACAACATAGTATCAACAGACACTGAGAAATCCAAATATATGTGTGACTCCCTTTATAGGGGTACTTGCTTTGATGCCATGGTCTGGAATTGAACCAGGAATATCTCCAAGGTATACCTGAAGTGGGAAGCAGATCTCAGGAGGACAGGAGGAAGCTGAAAAGGAGAAGAAGGTGGAGAAGACAGGACCCTGAACCTGTTCTGCTCAGGATTCTGCGCGAGCCTAGGCGAGCCCTGGCCCTTGATGGAACCTTTCTATCAAATGAGGAGGCTGACAGGCAGACCCTAACGTCTTTCCTCTGCCTCACCTTCCCTGGCGTGTCCCTGACAACAGTTAGGACTGTCAGGGCTCTGAAGGGGCACGAGCTGACAGGCTGAACTTACCTTCCTTCGAGGACACGAGATCCTTGGATTGATGTTCCATCTCCCTGGACTCAGCCACTTTCTTCTCCGTGACGGACTCTTTCCCAGAGCACAAGCTATGGAGACAGAAACCCCACCACTCAGCCTCAGGACTGTGAACTGAGCCTGAGACTCAGGCCAGAAGGGATAGGGCAGTGGGCCCCAAATCTACACGGGAACCACCTGGGATGCCTGTCTCACACACGCACGCATGCTCTGTCTCTAGCTTTCTCATGTTGGTGGCAGTGCAGACTGATTAAGTCATAACAGGCAGGGGGAGAGCCAGGCTTGTGCATTTTTAAAAGATCTCCAATGAAGTATTATGAAGCCCCAGTGGCACCGTGTTGGAGAAGAGTGCGGATTATCCCATGGACTGCCAAAAAAGCAAACAGATGTCTTGGGAAAAGTGCAGCCAGAATGCTCCTTGGAAGCAAGGATGGAGAAGCTTCATCTCACATACTTTGGGCATGTTGTGAGGAAAGGCTATTCCTTGGACAGGGACATTCTGCTTGGAAAGGTGGAGGGCTCAGCGGAGGAGGGGGAAGACCCTCAGCTGGACGGACTGGCACAGTGGCTGCAAGAGGGACCCCCCAGTGTGTCGGAGATGATGACCACATAGGAGAGGACAGGGTTCAGAGCTGTCGTTCATAGGGTCTCTGAGTCATACTCAACAGCCCATAACAACAAGATTACAACAAGTGGCACAGTAGATTAAGCATTTGGCTACTAACCAAAGAGTCACTGGTTCAAAGCCACCAGCCTCACTACAGGAGAGAGACGAGGCAGCCAGGTTGTACGAGGATGGCAGCCTTGGAAACAGGATTAGGAAATTCTATTTTCTTTGCCCTACCAGGTCGCTCTGAGTCACAGACGGCTCTAACGCACTGGGCACAGAGGCACTGGTGACGCTGTGGTCAAAGGCTTGCCTAGGAGAGAGGAGATCTACGTTCTCTTCCCGGTCAGGGCATCTCACGTGCTGTCACAGTGAGCCCGTGGAGGCTTGTATGCCATTATTACAATGGGCAGGCTTCAGTGGAGCTTCCAGACCAGGAAGAAAGGCCTGGAAACCGACTTCTGAAAATTGGTGGATTAAAACCCTCTGGATGACAATGGAGGGACCAACAAGTGAACATCCTATGGAACATAATAGAGTGAGCACGGAGGGCCAGGCAGCACGTCGCACCAGTCTGCATGGGGTGACCAGGGGCCAGGGCCAACTCACCAGCAGCTAAGGAGCACAGAAAAGGGTCACCACGTGGTTCTCGGAGCCAAGTCTGGGAGCCAGTGGAAGTCAGAAGAGTCACAGAGGCCTGAGTTCAAATCCCAGCCCCGCCTCTCCTTAGAAGCGAGACCATGGCTCAGACTCAATATTGTGAGTACTGGCTTTTCTCATTTGGAAAATGGAAATAAGGGTGTCTTTCTGAAGATGGGATTCTGAGGCTGAACACATGGGGCCCGGCAAAGAGGGGCAAATAGGCAATGAATGCCCTCCCTCTGCCATTCTTAATTATTGACCACAAAAGCGGTCACAAATCTCCTCCCCATCCCCCCCCCCACACACACACACCCCTGCCCCATGGGTTTCTAGTCTCTGCTATTAGCCTTTGGAGCTCTTCCCAATGGGAGACGTAGGCTGCCTTCCCACCCACTGAATGTGGTTAGTGATGTTATACAACTCCAAGGCCAGGCCTCCAGAAACCTTGTACATTTCTGCTTTGCCTCATGGGACATTATAACCAGCATGTGAACAAGCCCAAATTAAGCTCCTGGAAGGAAGAGCACATGTGGTGCTGTGGTGAAGGCATCTGACTGCTCCCCCACAAGGTCAGGAGTTCGAACCCACCATGTGCTCCCAGGGAAAACCATGAGGTGGTCTGCTCCTGTGAAGATAGTCAGCCTTGGAAACCTTATGGGGTGGTTCTACAGTATGGGGTGGCCTGGAATGGAAATCTACTCAGTGGCTGTGTGCTTGACCCAGTCATCCCTGACCCCCAATTGTCAGACAAACCATCTATGAATGAGGCCACTCTACACCAGCCAACACCCCCAGCTGGCCTGCCAAATGACCACAGAGGCTGGGTTAGCCCCTGTAGAGACCATTTGACTCTGGCCCTTTGCCAGATCTATGCAGTTACCCAAAAGACTCATAAGCACAAAATCCAACCCAGCTGTTACACCTGTTGTTGAGTTGACTGTGTGTGTGTGTGTGTGTGTGTGTGTGTGTATGTGTTTACACTGCACTCAGAGTTTTCAAGGCTGGGGGTCAAGTTGAAGCAGACCACCAGACCTGCCTTCCGAGGGGCCTCTGGGTGAGTTTAAACTGCCAACATTTTGGTTAGTGGTCAAGTGCTTAACTACTTGTGCCACCCAAAGTTTCCTTGTATAAAAGCATGAATGCACAATATTTCAGACCGCTGAGGTTTGGGTCGTTTGTTATGCAAAAAGTGCTTCTCTGAACTGGGTCCCCCCCCCTCTCCGATTTGGGGCTCTAGAGCTCTGTATAACTACCCCTACCTCTGCCCCATGTCAGAGCCTGGCCAGGGGTCAGCAGGGGGCAGTCCTTACCCATAGTGGTAGTTGCTGGGCAGAGGGTAGGGGATGTGCCCCCGAGGCATCAGGAGGAAGGTGCGCCCGATGTGCCAGGCACTGCAGATGGACAGGAAGAGGAAAGAGGCCCTGAGGCTGATGCCCTGCTCATACAGGAGCTGCAGAAAAAGCAGGGAGAGCCAGTGTCAGAGGCAGGAGCTGGAACCCCCGTTCCCAAGGAAGAGTCTTGGGGCACATACTTGCCCACCACACCAGAAACTGGCTAAGGACGCCTGATCCACACCCAAGGGCCTAGCTGGCAGCCAGGTGGGCATTTCATCACCCACCTCGCAGCCCGCGCAGCCTCCCACCTAACTCCTCAGAGGTCTCCTAGCCCCGTTCCTTTTCCTCAGTAACAGCAAAGCCTTTTTGTCCAAACAGAATCTTACAAGAAAATTTATCTTAAAAACACATCAGTGAGGAGTTGCCCAGTCACCCTCACTTTCATCCCCTCCTGCGACTCGTTAGAACATCTAAGAGGAGCTTCCAGCGGCCCTCAGAGCTCAGCTGGAAAACCATTGATGTAGCCCAACCTCCTCGTTCTACAGAAAATGAAACAGAGGTCCAGAGTGGTACGATGAGTTGCCCAAGGCCAGGATCAGCAGGGCTAGATTAAACTAAGAACTCTGGCCCCCACTCCAGTGCTCCCTCCCCATTCACCACTATAGCAAGAGAAAAACAGAGGTGCACACAGAGGGAGAGAGGCAACCTGGGAAGTGACAACACGTCTGAGTAAGTGTCCAAGGGACTCTGTCTCTGGGAACCAACAAGCCCAGATGCTTACAGGACAAAGGTCACTACTGTGTCTGAGGAGTGACTCCAAGACCCCCTCTTCCCTTCCCCCATAGCCCATAGTGTCGGCTGCCCTGCCCCAAAATAAAACCCAGAGGGCTGGCCCACATTGGGCAGTTTGGGTGTCAGGGACCCACACTTCTCCATTTCTTCCTCTCCAGCATCTTTAAGGTGTTCAGTTTTGTCTTCCAGCTTGCTGCCTCAGAACCACAAGAAGGCTGCCACAGCTCCAGCCATCACACCCCCCCTCTACCAACATTCAAAGATAAAAGATGGGAAAGGGGGATCAAGAGAGGTTTGTTTGTTTTGGTTTGGGATTTTTAGCTTTGCTCCCATCCTTCATCAAGGGGGAACAGTCCCTTCCTAAAATCCTCTAACAGATCCCTCTTTCATCTCATTAGGCAGGACTAGATCACAGGCCCACCTCTAGTTATCACTGACAAGGCGGAAGGAGATTGTCACTGTTGGCTTAGATCAGTCAGATTCATCCCCTGGGCTGGTCACACTGCTGTCCAGATGAAACGGTTAGCGATGAAGAAGGTGGGCTAATTAATGAGTGGGCCCCTAACAGGACTGGCAACCATCCATCCTCCACTGACCAGAATCAGACATCAAGAGATCACAGAGAACTCTGCATTTTCTCTGTGTTATTGCGGTTCTACTAGCAACGACCACCGTGTTCAAACCAGGGGCTTCGAGCAGCAGCACCCCAACATCCCACACTAAGAGGGGAAAGTCCACTTGAGACACTGGCCCAAGTACTTCAAATCCATGCCTTCCCTTGGCCTCTGCCCCTAAATCTCAAGTCAGTAAGAAGGAGGGACTTGACATTATGAGCTTGTACTAGAGAACCGGACAAGCCTGAGTTCAAGTTCAACTATCTTCTTCAAGTAACTTTAAGCTGAGTCAGCATTTCCTCTGAGGTGGTATCTCAGAGGGCTGATGGGTAGAAAGCGCGCCCCGTTCATGGACAGACATCAGAGGTGTACACCTGCTTGATAAATGCTGGCTGTTTCTTACCTTAATGATCAAGAAGACAGCCGAGGAGGAGTCAAACGCCCCATTGTAGAGGGTGATGATGGTGGAGCGGTGTTTGCCAAAGAGATTCCCAACCTGGAGAACACAAAGACTAGCTTGCTTCCCTTATTTACTCTAGAAACAGAAGTGGCTTGGGCACACAGCATGACACCCCACTCACAGCCCCAAGAGCTACGTCCCACCCCAAGCCAGCCCCATGTGAGGCAGCCAGTTCTAGAAAAGCACTTGCCCCTCCCCTCCAGCCCTCTTTCTACCTTCCCCTCCGTCAGCCTCCCCATACTCCCTGCCCTTCCCCCACCCCATGACCACCCTGCCCACACCTGTAGGTTGGTGATCAGAAACAGGATTCCACCCACAGTCAGCATGGGCATGGCCAGGAAGAGCAGCGGGGCTGTGCCTGGAACAGTCAGAGAGAGAGGCGGGTGGTGTGGTTAAGTATAATCCAACACGCAGCTTCAAACTCTCACACGCGTCCCTCACCCTCTGTGAAGTCCTGGCTCGACCGGCTGGCTAAAATCACCACCAGCCCTGTGCTCGGGGTCCCAACTTCAGCCAAAAGCATCCTTCAAGGGTCTTAGGGTACTACTGGTCCAGGTTCCCTAAATATCCCTACTGAGACCTGAATAGACATTCTTTAGTCTGTAGCAGGCCTGGCTATCCACAGTGGCAGGACACAGAAAGATGGGGGCTCTTCTCCCTCAAAAGCCACAGGCAGCACCCCCTACACATCCAACACTGTGGGGTAGACAACCTTCGCCCCGGGGGCAAACTTGGGCAAGGTCCTCATGCCCTGACTCTAGAACTCTCCGTAGGAATTTGAGCTGGCTTTTGAATCTGCGACTCAGTCACTTCCTCCGGGCAATGGGCAGAGCAGCAGCAGTATTTGCTCTCTGTGCTCTATAAGGTCACCAGGAGAACTGAGAATACAAATAAAACAGAAACAAACAAAAAACCACATTGCCAGAGTCAATTCTGATTCCCAGCGGCTCTGTGTGTTACAGAAGAGTCACTCTTCTATGTTACAGATTAGAAGTAACGACTCCACAAGGTTTGGGCGGCTGTAATCTAGACAAAACAGATCTCCAGGCCTGGGTGGGTTCCAACTGCCAACCATTAGGTTAATGTCACTATTATCAGGTGTGACCAGGACCCACGCCCTCCTCACAGTCCTGGGTGTGCTTTAACCCTCTGCTGCAATCCCTGTGTCCGTCCATCTCTCTGAGGGTCCTCCTCTTTGTTGCTGACCTTCTGCTTTTAGTAAGCACGATGTCCTTGTCCAGGGACTGGCCCCAGTGGCTGGGAGACAGTGTCTCACTAGCCTCCCTTCTAAGGAGCATTCTGGCAGAGTATCTAAGGAGCGTTCTGGCAGAAGATCTCTCGGATCTTCTGAGGCAGATTAGCTCGCTCTTCCAGTCGTTGCTGCTACTAAATGCTCTCATGTCAAGATCGACTCGCAGCCACCCTGTAAACAACAGAACTGAAGCCCGTCCTGTCCTGCACCAGTCTCGCAAGCTCTAACACACCTGAGCCCATCGCTGCAGTCACTCTGTCAACCCACCTGGTGGCGGGTCTTCCTCTCTTATCTCTCTCACCCTCCACCTTTCCAAGCATGATGTCCCTCTCCACGGAATAGCCTCTCTCCTACCAACACGCCTAAAGTAGTAAGACGAAGCTTTATCATCTTTGCCTTGAAGGAACGCTCTGGCTACACCTTCTGCAAAACATTTTTGTTTGTTCTTTTGGAAGCCCATGAGATAGTACTCTTATTTCTACTGGTCCATGGTAGAGTCAAAGTTCTTCACAACACCATAATTCAAAGATATTTATTCTTTTTGGGTCTTCTTGCACAATTGCCCAACTTCCACATGCAGAAGAGACAAGGTTGACAATACCACGCGCCTGCGTGTGACCCACAGCCTAAAGTGTAAATCCAGCACCAAACCCCTCACCACAGATTACTTTTCTTCGTTCGTTAAAGCTCATTAAAGCACTTTTTCAGTGTGAAACTGTACTTGGCACTGACAATGAAGGGTGCAGGGAGCATATCCCCTGCCTTTGAAAACAACAACATGCAAACAAATCACATCTGATGAAGAATTTGGTGGAAGCCGTGCCAAAAGTAGGTGAGACCTCAGTGACTCATCTGTCCCTAAAACCCCAGGTCCCTGCCGCTGCCTTCGTGATTTTAGCCACAGCCCATGCCTCCCTTGCGATGCATCCAAATGGTCTTCTTTAAACTGATTCACTTTTATCCACAAAAGACACTATTTTTACAGGAAAAATTCTATCAACGCTGTAAATGAAAAGCATGGAGTCGCTGGTTGTGAACAGAGGGTAACTGCAAAGATAAATACAATGAAAAGAAAATGCCATTAAATTCTAGCTGGTCTCTGGGGACCAAAGACTGTTTAACGCGTGAGACCTGCCTTTGCCACAGGAGTTAAGTCACGCTAGACCCCAAACTGAGCCTTTCTTTGCGGAATCCAGAAGGACTGAAGGAGAACTAAAAAGAGAATCCCGTTCCCACCAGGTGGTGGAGGAAATGTTTGTTAATGTATCCATTTAAGTGAAGACTGCTCAGCACCTAGAGAAACCCTGTAAAGTGCTAATTATAGAGTATTCACACCGTTGGATGCCTGTCTTTCTAAAAATACACAATTCTTCTAAAGCACTGTCTTGGATTGAGTTGTGTCCCCCAAACTGCTTATACCTAATGATATAACGGGGAGCTCTGTAATGATCCCCTTTGACAGGATAAACCAAGTACTTGCCAGAGTTAGATTAAGCGTGCAGTGCAGCATTCATTAATCTATCAGAGTAAAAGACATCTCCCTAGAGCGTGGTGTGTAAGATCAAAGCAGGGAAACACTCGAGCTAAGACGGGGGACCCCAGTACCAGGGGAGAATTGCCAGGAGCGGGGTATGTCCTTTAGGACCAGGGGCTCTTTTTTGAAGAGGCTTGCTAACGCCAGGCCATGACACTTGGAGCTCACAAACGAATGGCAGGCTTATGGAGGCTGCAGGAAAAGATCTTTTCTCCAGAACCAGCAGAGGGAAAGCGGGCCTTTCCCTAGAGCTAGCTGGCCGCCTGAATTTGGACTTTTAGCCTCTAAAAGAGGGGTCTCTGGTGGCCTAGTGGCAAGAAGTTGTGCTGCAATCCCGAAGGCCGATGGTTCTAGGCCACCAGCTGCTCCATGCGAGAAAGATGGGCAATCTCCTCCCAGGTGATTAATTAACTGCCTCTGAAAATCTGTCTCTACAGGATCAGCTGTGGGTCGGTTCCTACTCTATGGTACACAACAACAACAGCAGCCTCCTAAAGTGTCAAGAGGGTAAATTCCTTGTTTACTGAAGCCATCCTCTGTGGTGTCTCTGTTACAGCAGCACTAAATAACTCGGACATGCTCTAAAGGCTTGAGAATCTGTTCACAAAAGGTCATTGTGACCTCAACAGGCATTCCAAACAACTACAAGCCCTATTTTATTGGGGTCCAGTTGCCATCAGGTAAACTGAGTCAGTCAGAGGGACCCCACATGTGTCAGAATACGAGGCTCTGGGAGATTATGAGGGTGGATTTTTCAGTGACACCTCACCAGGCCTTTCTTCCTTGGTGCCTTCTCCAGTCTCCAACCTTCCAGTAAGCGACCGAGTGTGTTAACAGTTTGCATCACCAGAGGGATTCCACTTTACAGGAGTGGGGGGTATTACTGTCTAAATGGTATCACAAATGCTCATGCCACCACCTCCACGTCCAGTCACTGTAAAATCCCTTCCAGGCTTTTCGACCAATGCTGCTACTGTGTTTGTTTGTTGGGGGATGGGGTTGGGGGGCAGGGGAGAGCGGTTTCTGGTAATTGGCTGGAGGCACCAGGTCATCTCGGGACAGCAGCTCCAACCAAGAACCTCAGGGTCTGATTGCGGAGACGACCTCATGGCGCTGCGTGGTTTCAGGGTAAAGACCACACACACTACAGCTCCGTGTTTTCATTTTCTAACCCAAAACTGAGCCACGTGGTCTGACTTCGGGGTGGAATACTGGAAGATACTTCCTACCCCCATAAATAAAGGTGCTCTGAAGGGGCACAGCCAGAGGTCAAAGGATCGAATCCCAGCCTGTTTCCTCTAATTTGCTCTGGGGTCTTGGGTAAGGCTTGCAAGGAGTCCCTTTCTGGCCTCAATATCCTCGTCTATCTAAGGGAGGAGCACCAGGAAGAGGGAAGTAAACCAGACTGGAATTCAAGGCTTAGGAATGTTACTGTTGTCTTTAGCTACTCTTCTGTCTGCCTCCACTCATGGTGAACCCATGCACAACAGAATAAAAGGCTGCCTATTCCTACACCATCCCCACAATCCACAGGGTTTAACCAACCGGCTGGTTTTCTGAAATCAATTGCCAGGTCATTCTTCCTGGTCCCTCTTGGTCTGAAAGTGGCACTGAAATCTACACACCACCACAGCAACACAAAGAGCCTCCACTGACTGACGGGACAGGAACAGGGAGACGGCATGTGAGGTCCACTGGTCAGAAACCAGACCCAGGAGTCACGCATGGCGTTGCGAACCCTCCCTCTGCCTCCTTAGGGTTTAATCACTTCACTCACTCTTTGTCATCAGGGGAGCTCTGGTGGCTTACTGGTAAGGCTTCGCTCTGCCAACCCAGTGGCAGGTGGCTCGAATCCACCAGGTGCACTGTGGATGTGCAGTCTCCTCCCATGTGATTTACAGCCTCTGAAAACCGCTGGAGGGTCAGCTCTGAGCCTCAATGTCAATGAACATTGGTTTTTATTTTCTTTTTCATCCATATTATCATCATTTTAGACAGCTCTGGTGGCTTAGTGTCAAGAAGTTGAGCTGCCGGCGCAAAGATAGGTGGTTTGAATCCCCTGGCTGCTCCATGGGAGAAAGGTGGGCAATCTCCTCCAGGGCGATTTACTGTCTCTGAAAACCCACTGGAATGTCAGCTAGAAGTCGGTTCCAACGTGACAGTAAACAACACAGAACATTAAAATGTCTTTTTTTTAGGTGTGCTCTGGTGGCCTAGTGGCAAGAAGCTGCACTGCAATCCCAGAGGTGCACGGTTCAAATCTACCAGATGATCTGCTGAAGAAGGAGGAACAATCGCCTTCTGTACTAGTCAGATCTGATTTGACGGTACACACATTAAAGAAAAAAGAAAGAAAGAAAAGTCTTCTTTAAAAAAAAAAAAGAAGAAGAGAGTATTGGAATGCACACAAAAGGCAGAATTTAAAAACTCCTCCCTGAAGAAGCCCTCCCCTTCTCTGCCTCCCTTACTGTCCCATTTCCCAGCTGATTACACGCTCCTCACCGACGGGCACTCACTCACTCACACTCTCTCAAGGATCCTTTCCAGGTCAGGTCGGTGCTTGGATGCATAACCACAGTGCATCCTGCGCCCCTGACCCACCCACCAGGTGCCCCAGTCAGCCCGCCCTCCTGCCCATTGGACAGCACTCACCTGCGGAAATGAAGGCGATGATGAGTGTGGCACTGGTGTAGAGACCTCTGGAAAGCAGACGGGGAAGAGGAAGACGTGAGCAAGGAAAGAAAAGCGTGCTGGGCGAGAATTCTGCTCACCCAGGCTCCACTTCGACATGTGACTCGTGCACGCCTGGCCTGGGGGTTCAGCAGGCATTGAAGCCTCCTCTCCTGCCCCATCCTCAGACCAGCTGCACGGAGGCCCCATGACTGTGCTGTCTGCCTGGCCTCACGGACAAGCCAATCTGTACTGGCAGAAGTGCAGTCCAGAAGGCAGATCTGAAGGGCTTCCATATCCGCCCTCCTAGCCTCCCCCCCCGCCCCCCCTACACACACAAGATGCAGTGAGGTCTGGTGGCCTACTGGCAAGAAACTGCACTGCAATCCCAGAGGTATGTGGTTTGGATCCACCAGATGCTCTGCCGGAAAAGGAGGGACAACCCCTCCTGTACCAGTCAGATCCAATTTGACGGTACATGCAAAAAAAAAAAAAAAAAAATTTCAAAAACAAACAAGCAAAGAGATGTGCATATCACCCACCTTCCAGCAGCCTGAAACTCCAAAGGCAGCCCTAATACCCCTCCCAAAGAGTGCCCTCCAAAGAAACAAGATGACCTCTATGCTATCATCAAGTTTCCCCTGACCACCTAGTCATAGGAGATAGTAAACCACTTGGGTTCACCGTGGATGTCAAGGCCAACAAGCACCAAATCAAACAAGCTGTAAAGAAGCTCTATGACACTGATGTGGCCAAGGTCAACCTCTTGATTAGGCCTGATGGTGAGAAGGAGGCTTATACTCTACTTGCTCCTGACTGTGACGTTTTGGATGTTGCCAACAATATTAGGATTATCTAAACTGAGTCCAGCTGGTGACTTTCTAAATACAACTTTTTCTCAATGCCTCCAAAAAAAAGAGACTGACGTGGTGACTCCAACAATGAACTTGAGCAGAGGGGAGATGGTGAGGATGGTTCAGGAGAGGTCATAGGGTCGCTGTGAGTCGGAGTCAACCGTATGGCACCTAACAACAACAACGACAACGATTCTATGGAACAGAGCTCTGCTGTGTAACACAGGGAGCCCAACAAAGCCATCAATCAGAAAAGACCTAACGTAAACTAGTTTAGTTTGGTGAAAGGTCAGTGGTAGAATCCTCCCCTTCCATGCGAGAGATCTGGCAGGATAACGAGCTATGTGTTGGGCTGCTAACTGAAAGATCAGCAGTTCTAGTCCATCAGCTGCTCTGTGGGTGCAAGATGAGGAGGCAAGTCTGTTCTCCTAAAGATTTACAGCTCCAGAAGCCCCATAGAGGATCGCCATGAATCAAAATCAGTTAGGAAGCAGGGAGATTTTAGTGGCTCAGGGAGATCCAGGTTCGAATCCCAGCCAGTGTACTTCCCCCACTGCCACCACTCATCTGTCAGTGGAGGCTTGCGTGTTGCTAAGATACCGACTCGACCAACTTATCTGTAGATCACATCATGGTATCGCTGTGATGCTGTAAGCTGCATCATTTATATTTAAAACACTAGCAATTCACCCAACCTGGTGGATAAGTTTCAGCACAACTTCCAGACAAACAAGACCAGGAAGCAGGACTAGCTGTCCTCTTTCCAAAACAACGGGCCACTGAAAATCCTATCAACAGCGTCAGCACAGTGTCCAATACAGCACTGGATGACGAGGCCCCTCAGCTTGGGACACAAACTATGTCTGAGAAAGAGCTGTGCCCTACCTTAGTGACAGAGATGGGGTAATGTTTAAAGACTACAGCCTTCAATATGGATTAAATCTCAACAAAAAAAAAATCATTCACCACAACAAGATAAAGGTAAATAATCCAATAGAAAAATGGGCACAGGATATGAACACTTCACCAAAGAAGACATTCAGATGGCCAACAAGCACATGAAGAAATGTTCAAAATCCCTAGCTCTAAGAGAGATGCAAATCAAAACAGCTATAGATATCATCTCACTCAAGTCAGAATAGCAAAATTTAACAGAACAGCAACAAATTCTGGCGAGGTTGTGGAGAAACTGGAACCCTTATTCACTGTTGGTGGGAGTGTAAAATGGTGCAACCACTGTGGAAGGTGGCATAGCGTTTTCTCAGAAAGCTGCAACTAGAAATACCATTTGACCCAGCAATTGCACTACTGGGAAAATACCCCAAAGAAATCATAACTGACATGCAAGCAGGTATATGAACACCCATGTTTATCACGCCTTTGTTCACAACAGCAAGGAGATGGAAACAACCTAAGTGCCCATCAACAAACGAATGGATAGAGAAGCTATGGTATATTCACACAATGGAATATTAAGCTGCATTGAAAAACAAGGAACTCATGCAATAGTGCTCAAAATGGGTGACCCTGGAGGACATTATGCTGAGTGAAGTATCTCAGTCACAACAGGACAAATACTGCATGGTGCCACTGCTGTAAAACAGGTCTGACCTCAGGGTTGGGGGGAGACTGAGAAAGATGGGTTCAATAATGTATACTGCATTGAAACAGATAAGGGAGAAAAATGTTTAAAAGGGATATGTGATTAGTTATTTTTGTCATGACAGGAGTCCAGAGCGAAGGCTGCACAGTGGAGTGGACCTGGGGGGAGGGATTGTAAAATAATGAAAGAATTTTTCTATTACTTTTCCAAAAGGGTAGTGAGTATACTACCCTAGTAAGGGGGAAGGGTTTGGAGGGGAGAAAAGTGCAACAGTGAATGAATGGAAATCCAAAGTCTCTGTAAATTTTCAGTGAAGTTAATAATAATTTCTTTAAAAAAAAAGAACAAAAAAATTCCTTCACAAATGAGCCAATAAACATCATGATAAAAGGTGAAAAAGCTGAAGTTGTCAATTATTTCCTTTTAACTTGGACTTAGACAAACAACCTATTGCATTGAGGAAAAACAATGCGGTCAAAAACCAAGTGCTAAAGCACAAAGGTGTCACTTTAAAGACTAAGGTGTATCATAACAAAGCCACGCTATTTTCAACCACCTTGTGTGTATGTAAAAACTGGAAAATGGATAAAGTAGACTGAAGGATTTATGCCTTTGATTTGTAGTGTTGGCAAAGCACGCTGAATCCACCATAGAAGGCAAGGAAGAACAAGCAAGTCTCTTGAGTGCAGCCAGGATGCTCCTTAGAAATGAGGAAGTGAGACATCTTCTCATTCTTTGGTCACGTTATAAGGAGGTCATCATGCTTGGGAAAAACAGGGGTCAGCAAAAAAGAGGAAGACCCTCAACAAGATGAACTGACAAAGTGGTTAGAACAGAGGACTTCAGCCCCACAGAGAGTGTGAGGACGGCCCAGCATCAGCAGGGGTCCATTCTGTTGTCTCTAGGAGATGGAGTTGAGTTGGTGTCATGTAACAACATGACACAGACCAGGTTTCAGCAGAGCTTCCACGCTGAGTCTACATTGTAAGGCTTGGTCATCTGCTTCTGAAAAGCAGTCAAAGAAAACCCTGGACCATGGCAGTCGAACCTGCAGGTACTCTCAGGGATGAAGCACCTGGTATCGTTTTGTTCCATTGTGTGTGGGGTGTCATAGTGGAGTGTTAAGTCAAGGTCATGAACAACAGTAGAAACAACAAGGTCCGGAGCTGGCAGCGAAGACCTGAGCTCAGCTGTTGTTGTTAAGTGCTGTCAAGTCGTAACCAACTCTTAGCGTAAACAACTCAAACCAACCATCCTGCAGTAGGGTTTTCAGAGTCTATAAATCAAAGAGGAGGAGATAGTCCATCCTTCTCCCATGGAGCCACGGATGGATTTGAACCGCCAGCCTTTGAGTTAACCTTACCATTAGACCACCAGAGCTGTCCAGGGAGCGGGGAGGGTGACACTGCTGGGCGTGGCCAGCACAGAGTGGGAAGAGCCCAGGCCCTTGCACTTGGAAATCCCAACAGGTCTAGAGAGATGCCGCTCCAGCTGGAGAACCAGTGCCTGGTCTTCAGTTCAAAAGCGGAGTCCTATTCCTCCTTACTGTGTGACTCTGGGCAAAGTACTACCCCTCTCTGGGCCTCAGACGATTTTTGCTACAAAAGGGAAAGATCGGACTGATTCAGACTCTGAGATAACGAATCCTGGAGTGCCGTGGTTATGAGCTTGACTGCTCACCAAAAGGTTGGAAGTTTGAATCCACCATCCTGCTCCTCAGGTGAAAGACATGGCAGTCTGCTTTCACGACGTATGCAGCTTTGGAGACCCTGCGGCTGTCCTCTGTCCCACAGGATTGCAGTGAGGTGGAATCAGCTTGAAACTCCGGGATAAAAGGCTGTGATCCTATCTCAGGTTAGCTAGCAGAGAGTAACGAAAACAGGGACCTCACAGCAGAAGTGGGAGGGGAGAGGAGACACAGAGGGAGAGCAGGGAGGAGGAGGAGAAGAAACACAGAAAGAACAAGGGACTTGATTCACCCTCTGGCTAGTTCGTGGCCCATCCCCAGGCCCAGGCAGCCCTGCAGGCCTCTCTCTGATGAGTAAGCTCTCACCTGCCTCCCAGGGGATGCCTTCTCTGTGCCCTATCACATCCCAGCGGATGACTGGTTATCCACGGCCCCTGGCACGGTAGCACACTTTCTGAGCATGATGGAGTCCCCAGCCCTGCCTCTGCATGGGAGTGCCACTATCTCCCCTCCATTAGCCTCCAAACCAAACCCATTGCCATGAGGTCAATTCCAACTCTGAGTAACCCTACTGGACAGATTACAAGTGCCCACAGGGTTTGCCAGGCTGCTGAGTTTTGCGGAAAGAGGCAGCCACAGTTTTCTCCCATGGAGCAGATAGTGGGTTCAAACCACCAACTTTTGGAATGACAGTGTAAGACTTTAACCACTAGGCCATCAAAGCTCTTTTAAAGATGTTGTTGTTGTTGTTAAGTGCTGTCGAGTCACAGGCGACTCATAGCGACCCCATGAAGGAGAGTCCTCGCCACTTGGTGCCTTTCATCCTCTCTCCAGGTTCATAGGATTTCCGGAGGCAAGCTATTATGGAAGTGGATGCCACTCCTCCTTCCAACTTTTAAAGATACCGAGGAAATTATATTATCTAGGCCTTAGGGGAAGAGATCTACACTTGTTTTCATTCCAAAGAAAGATGACCTGACAGACTGCAGAAATTTTCAAATAATATCATTGATATCACATGCAAGCAAGATTCTGCTGAAGATTATCCAAAAACTGGAACAGCATGGCTGAAACAGGGAGTACCAGGGGAATGTCTATCTGTGTTTCATTGACTATGCAAAAGCATTTAACTGTGTGGATCACAACAAACTGTGGCTGACTCTGAGAAGAATGGGAATCCCACAACACTTGATTGTGCCTACGCAAAACCTATAGTTTGGACAAGGAGGCAGTCGTCAGAACAAAGGCAGGCAACACTGCTTGGTTCAAAATTAGGAAGGGTGTACGCTAGGGATGTGTCCTATCTCCATACATTTTTCAATCTATATGAAGAACAGATTATCCAGGAGGCTGGGTTCTATGAGGAGAAATGTGGCATCTGTATTGGAGGAAGATTCATCAATGATTTGTGTTATGCAGATGACACAACCCTGCTTGCTGAAACTGAGGAGGACCTGAAGCACTTGCTGCAGAAAGTGAAGGACTAAAGCCTTCAGTATGGATTGAGGCTCAACATCAAGAAAACAAAGATTCTCACCACTGGGCCAATTGGCAGGATCATGATAGAGGGTGAAAAAGTTGAGATTCTTAACAGTTTTAGTTAGCTTGGCTCCACAATCAACACTCTTGGTACCAGCAGCCAGAAAAATCAAGAGACCAATTGCATTGGAAAAGTCTGCTGTCAAAGACCTCTCCAAAGTACTGAATAGCAATGACATCAGTCTGAGACTAAGCCACACCTGATACAAGCCATGGTTTTCGCAATTACTTCCTATGCATCAGAAAGCTAGACAATGAGTAGGGGTGACAGAAGGAGAATTGATGCGTTTGAGCTATGGTGCTGGAGAAAAGTATTGAATATACCATGGACCGCTAGGAGAACAAACAGGTTCATCCTAGAGAGGGTGAGACCAGGCTGCTCTTTGGAGGCAAGGATTCTGAAGCTTTGTCTGACATACTTTGGACATGTGGCAAGGCGGGACCAGTCCTTGGAGAGGGGCATCATGCTTGGGAGGGTGGAGGGACAGTGTAAGAGAGGAAGACCCTCAATGAGATGGATTGAATCAGTGACTGGGGTAATGGGAGTAGGTGTGTGTCAGAGACAATGAGATTGGCACAGGATAGAGCAGGGTTCTGGGCTCTTGTACTTAGGGTCACTGTGAGTCGCAGGCAACTCAACAACACATAACAAAAACAACAATAGGCCTTGGAGGAGAGGGTACTGGGGGATGGGCAGGATGAAGAAAGCTGAGCAGCGCAGTGTATGAGACTTGCAGGAAATGTGGCCAGTGGCCCCTGGGGACAAAACCCAGACCCCTGCCATGGAGTCAATGCCCATTGGTGGCGCCTCTGTGGACAGAGTGAAACTGACCCACAGGACTGTCGTGGCTGCGGATCTTTATGGAGGCAGACTAACACAGCTTTCTCTCAAGAAGCAGATGGTGGGTTCAAACTGCTGATATTTCAGTTCTCAGCCAAGCACCCGAACCACTGCATCACCAGGGCTCCTTTGAGGATGAAGGCAGAGAGTTGTCGTTTGAAGTTTTGCTAAGGTCAGTAGCCTGGCCCCAGACCAGGGCTTACAGGAAAAAGGGAGGGGGCTTTCCTGCTTGGTTCCTCACTGAGGGACAATCTGGCATGTACCGGCCCCTGCCAGCAGCCATCCCCATGTGCAGCAGAGGAAGGATGTGAGGAACAGGAAGCAGGGGCCAGGGGAGGGCAGATAGTCCACAGTGGGGGCTGTGTCTGCTCAGCTGCTCCTGGGCGAACCTGGGCTCAGGGGGAACTGAGTCCTGGGCAGGGCCTGGCCGGGTGCTCAGTGTCTCAGCCAGGGTTTCCAGAAGAAAAGCTCTGCAAAGAATCACAATAGAGGGTCCCTGGTACGTTCATTACAAATTGCACTGTTCAACGAGAAGTCAGTGGCTCCAATCCCTCAGCTGCTCCGTGGAAGAAAGATGGGAAGAATCCTCCTAGAAGAGTTACAGTCTTAGAAGCCTGGTAGAAGGAGGTCACTATGAGTTTGAACCAACCAGACAGCAGGGAAATAAGAAACAAAACTCAAAATCATAAGAATGACCAGGTTTACTCTTCTGACAGAAACCGCTGGAACCCCCAAGACTATTGCCCTTTGTCACCCGTTAAGCCTGAAACTGAAGGCTCAAAATCTGTGACTGGATTTTCAGCCACACAAAATAGATTGGCTCACCACTAGACCACCAGGGCTCCTGAACGGATAGAGAACAAGAATAAGACTTTAGAACAAGAAGGCCGTAGAACAATCAGCCTTATGAGAGCAAAAGGGTAGCATTTGTCCAGGGATAAAACTCAGAAGTCAGGGAGCGAGAGGATGGAAGGATGAATGGAAACCAAAGTCACTGGGAGGGATTGGGAGGAAAAGGGACAGAAGGTCCAAGGGCATCTTCCTCTGGGAGGATTAACAAGGATGAGAAGAGAGGATGTAAGTCAGGTGAACGGGAAGCAGATATACAAGAAGAGTCTGGTGGTGATTGCATACTTTCGAGTCAAAACCCATAGCTGTTTTTATAGGTGATTTTTCAGAGGCAGTTAATCACATGGAAGGAGATTGATCATCCTTCTCCTGTCAAGCTCCTGGTAGATTTGAATCACATGCCTTTGTACAACATTGTTGTTGTTGTTTTTAGGTGCTATCGAGTCATAGATGACTCATAGCGACCCTATGAACGAACGGCCTGAACACTGCACATAGAGTTTCCAGAGGCAAGCCATTTTGGAAGCGGATGCCACTCCTGCTTCCAGGTTTGTTTTAGTCGGGAAGCTCCAGCAAACACTGTCCACCAAGGGTGACCATTACCACGTTTGGCACATCAATGTCACGGTGTTTAACATCACAGCAATCACGAGTTACCTCTGTACAGCAGCGCACAGACCAGTGCTACAGCACTTAGAAGAATGTTTGACAGGAAAACAATTTGAACCTGGCTTTGTTATTGTTGTTGTTGATTGCTGTCAAGTCGAGCGTGACTTATAGAGACTCTATGAACCAAAAACCTAATGCCTTTCCATAACTATCGTCATTTCTCCAAGTTCATAGAGTTTCCAGAGGCATGTGGTTTAGGAAGTGGATGCCACTTCTGCTTCCAAACCTGTTTGACAACTGGAAGCTCCACCAAACACTGTCCACATTGGGAAACCATTCTGGTATCTGATACCCTAATGGCACAAGATTCAGCGTCACAGCAACCCAGGTTACTTCATACAGCACATTGACAAAGAGTGATGTCCAAAGTGGAAGAGTGTTCCTCCAGTTATAACAGCATTAGTTTCACTTAGCAGTGGTTAAGCGTCATCAAGCTGAATACGACTGAGGGTAAACTTTGCACAAAAAACCTGAACTCTGTTCTATAACTAGCATCATTTCTGTACATTTATAGAGTTTCAAGATTAGTCCACTGTAATGGCTCTGGTGGCGAAGTGGCAGGTAGCTGCACTGCAATCCCAAAGGCACATGGTTTGAATCCCACCAGCTGCTCTGTGGGAGAAAGATGGACAGTCTCGTCCCATGTGATTTACTGCCTCTGAAAACCTGCTGGAGGGTCAGCTATGGGTCAGTTTTGACTCAATGGCAAACAACAACAGATGTTATATAAAAGGTTTATAAATGATTGAATGAAAGAACAATCAATATGATTTATAAACTTTGCCTTAAATTAAAAAAAAATAAATTAAAGGATAAAGCTCAGAAGACAGGGATAATATCGAAAGATGGATGGAAACAAGAATCACAAACAGGAAGTGGGAAAACACAATTTAAGAATTGCCATCAGGGCCTGACGTGAAGCCCTGCTGATGTAAAGCCCAGTGTGAAGAATTGCCATTGAGTCTCACTTCACACTCACTTTTTATTTAAAAAGCATGCATATTAATTAAAGTATACTTACTAAAAAAAGTTGCCCTCAGTGTCATAAAACAAAAATGGGAAGAAAGACTGAATGAAAAATCAATCTGCTGTGTACACTTTCACTCAAGTTACAACAAAAAGCTGAAAAGAAACCCAAAAGAGCCAGGCCTGCTATAGCTAGAAGCCTTCCTCACCCCCACCCGCCTCTGGCCAGGCAGGGCTTCAGGACTTACATGGCGATGAGACGGGCCACAGTGGTCTTGAAGCGGTCAAAGATGTAGCCGGTAGGAAAAGTCATGAAGTTGTTCATGAAGGACGCCAGCGTGAAGATGAGTGAGAACCTCTCGTCCTGGGCTTTGCAGTCTACAGACAGGAATTGGGACCCTCAGACTCCCCCCTCCCAGCCATCCCACCTTCCTGCCAGGTGCACGCCGGTGCTCTAGGGTAGCCTCTTCCACCCCAGACAGCTCGCCCAGTGGAAAGTTCTCCCTGAAGCAGAGTGGAAACGTGACTCCCCCTAACAGTTCCTGAGAGGGTTCCCGAGTGGGTCAAAAGCCTCTACAGAGGGAAGGCCTGGAGAAATGCTTCTAAAATGATTATAATTAAAAAAAAAAAAAAAAAAGATCCTGTGCAGCTCAGTTCCCCACGGCAGAACTATAACACGTGGGGCCACAAGCTGGAATTAACGGTATTGAATTTGTTTTTTGCTTTGAAAGTACCCCCACCAGGATCTTCACTCCCAGATACCTCCTACACCAATATTGTATCCACTTGCAACCCCTCTCCACCACTTAGGATTTTAAAAGCCCCCAAACAAACAAAAACACCAGGCCCCATTGTTGTCACACAGTTGCCTCAGATTTGTAGTGACCGTAGAGAATCGAGTGTGACTGCCCCATAAGGTCACCAGGCCTGTGATCTTTACGGAAGCAGATGTGACAACTTTCTCCTAAAGACCAAGCTGGTGAATTTGAACCCCTGACCTGTCCATTAGCAGCCAAGTGTTTAATCACTGAGCTACCAGGACTACAACGTTGAAGACTCCGGAGACTTTCCCACCGCTGCCCTTACCTGCCTGCTCCGTGCTGTTTACTGTCAGCTGGGTGTTTGGTTCACACAGGTCCTCAAAATAATGCTCCGTTTTGAAGACAAACACCAGCGAGGCCCAGCCGAAGAGGACGCCCGCAAAGCCCAGGCATTCCAGCAGCCCGGTCAGCAAGGTGGCCACGCGGAGGGCCAGGCGGGGGGCTGCCATGGCTCCAGGTGCTGCAGGCCCTCCAATCCCACCGGCCCAGCTTCTGGAAGGGTCACAAGGCCTGTGAGTCTGGATGTCAGCAAGCTTGGAAAATTCCTTCAGCACAACCTTCCCGGAGCGCAGCTCCCTGGCTCTGGCCGCTCAGGCCTGAGCAGGACCAATTGGTGGATGAGTCTCTGGATTCTGCAAAATAAAGCGGAGGCTGTGTGGCACAGAACTGTGGGAGAGGTAAGGAACACAAAGGGGTCTTTGTGGGGTGAAGGGTGAGGGTGTGCGTCAAAAAAAGCAGCAAGCTGTTAGAAACAACTGTAGAAAGCGTCCCAAATGAGTGCTGACCACAGACAGCTGCTTGGTAAATACTTCCTCCCACCCTCTGCTGCATTCCCTTCACCTGAGCCTCACAGCAGTGCCCCCCGGGCTGCAGAGCAGGCGGCCCCCTCAGGCAAGCCGGGGGCAGCTGGCCACAAAACAAAACAATTAAGCAAAAGGCTGGTGGTTAGAATTGATGCAAAGGTGCCCAGGAAGAAAGGTCTGGCATACCTTTTGAAACTCGGCCCCTGATAAGCCACCCCACCCCACCCCACCCCAGCACAGTTCTGTTCTGGCGCCCACGGGCTGCCACCAGGCAGGATCTGCCACCAGCCAGGATCTACACAACAGGGGCCGCTTTGGCTTTGGGTGTAAATAGGCAACCTCAGCTGCCAGCAGAGTTTAAAACTGTCCCGGGACCTCTGAGCCACACATACGGATCTGTCCACCCAAACAAGAGCCCCTCTGAACCAGGCACAGGGAGAGGGACTCTATGGTGTATTCATAATATTTCGTGGTTTGTTTGGTTTTTTTTTAATTCTCTAAACAAGCCAGCCACACTGGGGTTTTGCAATCTTCAGTTTACCAAAATTTAAGGGGATTTCGTCAATCTGTCCAAGTCCTTCCAGTTAGTCACGCCTAGGCCAGTCTGTCGCCAGAAAACATCCCAACTGCCCCACACAGATGACTGGATGGTCAAGAATGTAGTACTTTTAGGACCTCCACCCAGCCCCCATCTACCTCTGAGGCCCATCAGCTTCCACCAGGAAAAGCTGTCCCCTGCCCGCCCCCAGCATGTGGTCAGTTACGAGCTCCCCCACTGCCTCTGGAACTGTCCAGGGGTGAGCTGGAATCCCAGGTCATCTTTCTCTCTCTGTCCCCAGAGTCTTGCTGCCACAGTCCCTACCCCTGCCCCTTACCCCTGTCTCTGCCCACTACCCTTGTCCCTGCCCACTATCCTTATCCCCACCTCCTGCCCCCGCATCTTACCAAGCCCCTTCCACTGGGCTCTCTGCTCTCCCGCTCTCACTGCCTTTGCCTTTCGATTTGTGACTTTGCCTCGGGAGGAGGGGAGGACAACCCCGGCACCACAGGAGGCGGCTCCTCCCTTTACTGCCCTCACTTCCTTCTCCTCTCCACTGCCCATCTCCCGCGCTTTTTTGATGCACACCGCCTCCCTTGGGCTCTGTTCCACCTCCCTGCCTTGCAGCGTGGGATGTGGGTGTCCTCTGCCTTTCCCCTCTCCCCTCAGCCCTCACCTCTTTCCTTCCCTAGCCAAGGGAGTTTAATAACAGCCACGGCACAGGGGGAGCCTCAAAAAAGGTCACAAGCTCAGCAAACACACAGTCCAGAGAGGCAGGCGGCTCGCTCTCTCTCTCTCTCACTCTCTCTCTGTCTCTGTCTCTGTCCTTGCTCTCTCTTGCTAGCACTCTCTCTCTCTCTCACTCTCTCTCTGTCTCTGTCTCTGTCTCTGTCTCTGGGGGTGTGTGTGTGTCTCTGTCTCTCTGTCTCTCTCCTCTCTCTTTGTCTCTTCTTCTCTCTCTCTCCTATCCCCCATCTCCTCTCTTTCTCTCTCTCTCTCTCTCTCTCTCTCTCCTCTTTTTCTGTCTCTTCTCTCTCTGTGTCTCTCCTCTCTCTTCTCTGTCTCTGTCTCTACATCCTTCTCTCTCTGTCTGTCTCGTTCATCTCTCTCTTTCATTTCTCTGCTCCTTATCTCCATCACATGGGGCAGCACTTTGTCCCTTCCGCCCACTAGCTGAAGCCTCACTTCCAAAGCTGCCAACAGATGCCAGTCACAAAATCCAGGAGCCTAGAGCCAGCGACCTGGACTGCAGCTCTTCAGAAGTCATCTCTTGGAGGGGTTCCCTGTCTTTTGCACCCCCAAGGACCCCTTTGATTCTTCCCTGCTTCCCCACCCCCTCCAGCCCAGGTTCTGAAAGCGTCTACCAGCCAGACTGCATTGATTAAGTATTCATTCATTGCCCCATTTTTTATTAATCAAAGACACATCTAATTGCCCACCGCAGCTTCTGATCAGCAGGAGCGAGCTGCCCCAACCAGCTGTGTTGCTCCCTTTCCAGCCCCAGAGCGGGCCAGCTGACATCTTCCCTGGCCCGCATGCCCGTTAACCCCATCAGAAGCTCTGTTTGAGGGAGCCCTTTTTTTTTTTAATATTAGACACAGTCTCACACCCCCAGCTTCCTGGTTCCCCAGAGAAAAGAGGTAAGGACTCAAGCCATTACCAGCTCATCCTTGTTTTTAAAAAGGAAGAAATTCTCAAAACAACTATGAGATATCATCTCACCCCAGTAAGAATAGCAAAATTCAAGAGAGCAGCAAACAGCAAATGCTGGCGAGGTTGTGGAGAAACTGGAACACTTATTCTTTGTTGGTGGGAGTGTAAAATGGTGCAGCCACTATGGAAGGCGCTTTCTCAAAAAGTTAGAAATAGAAATATCATTTGACCCAGCAATTCCACTACTGGGAATACACCCCAAAGAGACCATAACTGACATCCAAGCAGATATATGCACACCCATGTTTATCGTGGCTTTGTTCACAAAAGCAAAGAGTTGGAAACAACCCAAGTGCCCAACAACAAATGAATGGGTAGAGAAGCTGGGGTGTATTCATACAGTGGAATAATATACTGCATTGAAAAACAAGAAACTAATGAAATATTATACAAAATGGGTGGCTCTGGAGGACATTATACTGAGTGAAATATCTCAGTCACAAAAGGACAAATACTGCATAGTGCCACTGTTGTAAAATGGAACGGACATCAGGATTGAGGGGAACTTAAGAAAAGAGGGGATAAATAATGTATACTGCATTGAAACAGATGAGGGAGAGAACGATTTAAAAGGAATATAGAGTTAGGTATTATTTTCATGACAAGATTACAGAAAAAGAAATGCATAGCAAAGTGGACTGTGGACTTGGGGGGGGGCAGACTGTATAACAGTGAAAGAATTTTGTTTTCTTTTCAAAGATAAAAATGAACTGGGGGGAAGGGTGGGCAAGGAGGAAAATGTGCAACAGTGAATGACTGGGGGGAAAGTTAAATGGAAAGAATATGCTGTAAAAAATATATATGTTGTATTTAAAATATCATTAATAAAATGTGGGGGGAAAAGGAAGAAATTCGAATGGAACTTCAGTCTCCCCCTAGCCTGATGGTGCTTGGCTACCACAGCTGACCTCTTTTAAAAGAACATCCCATCAACAAATGAACAGATAGAGAAGCTCTGGTATATTCACACAATGGAATACTATGCAGCATTGAAAAACAAGGAACGAGTGATATATTATGCAAAATGATGACCCTGGAGGACATTATGCTCAGTGAAATATCTCAGTCACAAAAGGAAAAATACTGCATAGTGTCATTGTTGTAAAACCGAATTGACATCGGGTTTGAGGAAAGACAGAAAAGGAGGGAGGAATGGTGTTTATTGCATTGAAACAGATGAGGGAGAGATCTGTTTAAAAGGGACATATGAATGGGTATTCTTGTCATTACAGAAGTCCAGAGTGAAGGCTGCATAGTGGAGTGAACTTGGGGGGAGGGATTGCATAACAATGGAAGAGTTTTTCTTTTCAAGAAGAGTGATTAGGGGAGGAGATGGTGGGCAGGGAGAAAAGTACAACAATGAATGACTGGAAACCCTAAGTCTCTGTAAACCTTCATTAAAATTAATTTTAAAAATATGGAATCACAATAGAAGGTCCCTGGTTGAGTACAAAAAGGGAGTTCTGATGGCACAGTGCATAATGTGTGGGTCAGCAGTTCGAATTCAGCAGTTGCTCATCCAGAGAAAGGTCGATAGTCTCTTTAAAGAAATATTTTTTTATTGTTGTATACCACTGAATCACAACCAACTCATAGCCGATCCTCCAGTAGATTTTCAAAGGCAATAAAGCACACAGGAGGAGACTGCCAATCTTTCTCTCACAGAGTAGCTGGTAGATTTGAACTGCCTGCCTTTGGATTGTCAGTGCAGCTCCTTACCCCTAAGCCACCAGAGAACCCGGTGGAGGGTCCAGCTGTTGACTCAGTGGGTTGGTTTGTTTTCATAATTGTTGTTGCTGTTGTCTGGTGCCATCGAGCTACGTACAACTCATAGCAACCCTACGAGCAACAGATCTGATCCTTGCCCCAGCCCGCGCCAACCTCATCACCTCTGACACACTTGAGCCCATTGCTGCAGTCACCATATCGAGGCATCTCACTGAGGGTCTTCCTCTCTTTTGCTGACCCTTCACCTTTCCAAGATGATGTCTCTCTCTAAGAAATGGCCCCTAGTAACAACATGCCAAATATAGGTGAGAGGATGTCTCACCATCCTTGGTTTTGATAAAGTAGAAGAAATAACATAGAATAAAACACAAGATTGTAAAAAAAGACCCTCAAAACTTATTCACCTCCCAAACCTGAAACTGAAGTCACCACCATAACTCATCTTTCAATAAAGCAATAGATGTGGTAATCAATAATACCTGGGAGAAAAGCAGGCCTTAGTGTTCGGTCAACCTATGAGATTAAATGGTCAGCATCTACCCAGAGACATAGCTCTCAAGGCAGAAAGGGAGAAGAATGGTGGATGAACGGAAATGGGAAACACAGAGAGGAAGCGGGAATAGTGCTGCTACACTGCGAGGACTGACTGCTGTCAACATCTCAACAC